CGGAAAAATATATCAACAAGGTTTTTTTATACAAAAAAAACGATAGATTATATCTACTAGCTAACCCGTATTTTGTATCCTTATCACCTGTGTTTTAATGCTGACCGGCGATATCCCAATGTGTTATTGAATAAAACCACACCTGTTGCATGTTGATATGTATTATCACCCACTGACAATACGTATGAAGTATAATGTTATTTTTTCTACTTCGATGCTGTTATTTTGCAGTGTAAATACATCTTAAATTATGCGTAATAAATTACTAAAAAAGGGTCGAAATTTTGTTTTTGTTTGCAACTTTCAGCGAATCAAATTTTGTCTTCTACGATAAGGACAGGTTCGAAAGTCATCCTGACAGGACAACCTTTGCAGCCAAAGGTGAGGCAATGTGAAGGGAAACGAATTAAAGAAGTGTAACATAAAGAAGAGATTATATAAAGCTCGCCAATTGACGCTATACAATTATACAACTTCGACAGTATGCCCGTTTTACAAAGCACTAAAAACAATCAAGTGTTGTATCATCAATTTTTAACGATTGGAAATTAACCTCTACAAAAGTCCGTTGACCAAGACATAATTTTTCCATGAAAAGCATATTGTCTTCAGCTTTATTAAAACCCATCTACTCCATAGATTTATACACAATGTACACTCAAATCGCAAGACAATGTGGTAACAAGTTGTCTGTGGAAAGATAAACATTTGGTATAGTTTCACAATATACGATATTCGGCCGACGCATTTTAGGAAGAAAGCTTTGAGTTTCATTTTTGGTATGAGATCCTAACTTAAAAGTCACCTATAGCTGCGCCTACTGTATTATATGCACGAAATGTATGTCACATACTTGTAATGCTATTAATATGATTTTTCTTAAGAAAATATTATATGATAATTATATGATCTGAATATATTGGATATTATTAACTGTTTCAGTCTGGAATTGGGCACTAATTATGATTATAATAAAATGCTGTCCAGTCATCACATTTAGATATATCGATTATTGACAACAAATGCATTATTGCACGGACAAACCGTTGAGGTAGGTCGCACACGATAAAAACAGCAAAGTATCGACATGTAATTAACATCATCTTTAAGACAAAATTTGATAAACAAGGCGAATTATTAAAAGAAGACACACTAACACAATGATCAGTGAGTACTAGGAAAATTTCACTATTTGTAATGAAGGAGTAAGTGTACCTTGCTTCATCGATTACATCCACAATGTAAATTAATGTAGAAAAAAATAATTACATTTCTCTTTGAGAAATAAACAACAAGCAACAACGAATCAAACGGGATATTAACATGCCTAGACAAGTTTACTTCAATCTTTGCATCGAAACCCCCAAAAAATGAATATTTTCCACACTTTTTTGCATTTTTAGCGACTTTTTAATTTGAGAACACATCATAGTTATCCCTTACCGGCAAGTATTGACCGTTTAAGATGATTTTGTTTTATCAACGCTACAATGAAAACCACATTTGTAATGAAAATATATTTCTACATTTTCCTCTAGTTTTAGGACAATTTAGAAGCACGATAATCATGGTTCATGATACTGACTGTATTGCTGATGCATTAATCGTGTGATTTTTTTATTGCGATCTAATCGTTAATGCTTAACTTTTGAAATATTGCGCAAAAAGACACGCCTCTCATCCTTCAATAGAAATTAAGAATTAGATACTGTATGGCAGAATATGAAATACAATTTCACAAATTACGAGATTTAGACTATGTGTTCCAGATAAGTAAAATGTTTCCAATTCAACACGAACCACGTAATCGCCAAACCAAGTAATTTTACATTTTCAACTAGTAAGCTTGATTATAAGATATATCAAACGAGATATATGGCATTTACCAATGAGGTTATGGGGACTCTAAGCTCTCTCAATAGTTAACATCAAGCTGCATCTTTCGAAACTCTGCACTTTCAGTTTATACGTCAGCTGAATATATAGTGTAAGGAAGTCGTTATGATGGGGACAGCATATCGAAAAAAATGTCTACGTGTTAACACTAAAGGTGTTGGAAAGAGAAAGTATACCATCTAGAAAAGGATATTTTCGATAATAATGTCGAAATATTCATGCTCTTCTTACAGCTCATTTGAAGGGGAAGAGAAAATGTCGTTATGGAACCCAAGGGTTTTATGTAATAAATGTTCAAACCAATTTAAGAGCGTTGCAGAAGGACTTTGCGTTCAATTCTCACGGAGATAAGTAATGCATCAACGAACTACCTGATCAGGCTTAAGCATTTTATTCCGTGCCATTTTTCTTCAGTCTGGTCCATATACATTTCCTTGTTATAATACCTGGGCAAGTGCTGTAAAATAGGAAATCGACTCATGTCGACACTGATCCACAAGTTCTGGTTACCCCGTACTGACATCTTATTGATGTGTTCTGTTGACACATGTATTAAAGTATATATTGGACCTATTGGCGTGACACAAGTGTATCCAGTGTCACTAAAGTGTAGATGGAGTTGACATCATCGACATGCTAAATGATAATTTGTGTATATTACATGTTTGATATTTTCCAGATAACAATAATTAGTGAAATTATTTATCGAAGTCTGTGATATGATTCAATATCCTATATATAAGTACTGCAATTAGAATCAAATGTGTTACTCTCAGTACTTTGTTATTTGAATAAGCAACCTATCAAAAGGAATGTACAATGTCATCCATTGCCAATATGATACATACAGATTACGCCATGCATCTTATTACACAACAACATACAAAAACGTTGAATGTATTTTGTAAATGATTTTTATTGAAGCGGTACTTTGGTATATAACTTTGCAATAAAAAAGTAATCTGACACGAAGTATATCTGGAATAACTGTACTCAATGTGTAGTAAATGAAATAAGTGCAAGCTGCTGACTTTTCATAGAAAATAAAGAAAAATATTTTTTTTTAGCTCCAACAGAATTTTTTGTGTTTATTTTCCCCCAACATTCATTCTTAGACAAATTTCTCATCAGTGCTCAGAAACTGTATTTAATAACTCGCTGTCTGAACATTTTTCCGAACTTCAAGTGTCTAAGTACCATCTACCTGATCTACTTAATCAGCATTTCTGATTCCTAAAAACTTTCAATAATTATATGCAATCTAACATTGCATGTCATGGCTTTTCACGATCTCGCCTTTCCCTATAAAATTGCCTGCTTCAGTCGTTGAACTTTAGCTAATTAGTAATAAAACGACAGATGGCAATCGTACACATTACATTACATCATTTGTCAGGTCGAATTTGATGTGGTTTTCAAACCATTTCATTGTAGATCAGATATAATACATATGAAATGATATTTTCATTTCTGTTTTCGTTCCGCTGAATATACTTGTTTTTATGGCATGTATAAAAGATAAACAAATTTACGAAGATCGTAAAATTATTAATTCAAGAGAATATCGACGTGTATAAAGATATCATGATTCAAACTACAAACAAATGAAACGAAGAAAAAATAAAAATTTGCAAACTGACACTCTCAAAAATGTATACGAAACACTTCTAAGTTGGCGCCTTTTTTCATCTGCGACAAATATGGTAATCTAAATCAATCCGCATAATTGCAAGCTCTCACAAAGGAACCGGGAAATGTATTGTAATTTAATTGCATTCACCAAACTCTTAGCAAAAGGATAACTCAATTTCTTGAGATAGAATCGCGTCGCAAATTCATGAATTCAAATATTGACCAATTTAAAAGGGCTAGAAATGCCATATTGACAGGAATTATTATAGGTGTGTGAATGATCTAGTTACCAGAGCTTTCATGGACAGTTTTATTCAATGTAAACTACATTTCCTTGTTTACATCACATGTTCCCCACCTTATGTTGGATCAGACATCAAGACGGCTGAGAGTAAACCATCTCTGTATCGCTATCTTAATCATGACGAAATATTACACACAAAACATGTTTATCACAATGTTATATCATCATGGTGAATGCTGTAGGCCCAATACAAAGGCTAAGAAGCTTTTGATGATAAATCTCCTTCAGCTGTGTTGCATGAAAGTCGCAATATTACAGCAATTCATGATATACCGGATATATATCACATGTGAAAGATGACAGCAAAATATATTTCATTACCAGTTATTTGCATGTGTATGAATATTGGTGTACATTTATCTCCAATAAAATTCCGATTGATTGTTAGAAATGTTATATATTTAAATTTTAGTCTTGTCGTGAATCGGAAATGACAGTGTCATTAAAACATAATAATATTTTTATCCGATATATATATGATATAAACGGCTTTGAAGGCTAATGCGCATTTAGATATGTGAATATCAAACTCAATAAATATGTATGAGCATTTGAAAATCAATACTTAAATTATGTTTGTATCTTAAAGACTTGTGATGAACGCCGACAAAATAAGTCGAGTGTTGTTTACGTTATTAAGGACTTGCTTACTACTCCGACACCAGTAAGGTATGTAAATTATTTCTACATTTCTAGAAAAGAACAAGACAATTTTATTCCGTGTGACGACGAAAAGATATATCTATCAAAATTTTTAACTTTATGTATGTTCCTGTAAAGAGAAGTTGGTGTTTGTTAATTCTGTTTAAATATCATAAGTTAACACTGAAGATGAAAGTACAAAACGTGAAAAAAAGAGTTTATTCATAACAATTTATTGTGTGAAACAGAGTCAGATAGCGCACACAATGAAGGAAAAAAGGCCCGAATAAGAATGTTTATCCGTCACGTAGACACAGAACATCGTATCCTTCACATTAACAAATAGAATGGTTGAAGTATTTCTTGTACATCATTAAAACTACACACCGTGCGTATATTCTAGGTTTAGTCATCCGAGGCTACAATCTGATGGACCGTCTGTATTAGGAGTTCATACCTTCAAATACAAGGATTAGATCAGCTGCTTGTGAGCTGTCAGACGTCGGGCCACACAACGTCCACCAAGATGGAGTATAAAGATAAAACAGGTAGGGTGTAGGCAGTTTCTGAATGGTGTTATTGAAGATAGCGGTGCTCGAAGTTCTCAAAACATGTTTCTTTTCTTTTTTATTTGTCTCTGTGCCTTTTTTAAGTAACATAAAGTCCTGTGCACAAAATATGTAGCAACTAATGTCTCTGTTTGATGAAATCTCTGATTTAATATTTTACAACTTAAATCATTTTCAAATTTTATTTGCCTTTGTACAATGGGATAGTCAGTGATTCATTTTAAGTAATCCAACGCAAAGTGATTTATAAACTTTATTAGCTATACAATGGGTATACAAACAATATTAATCCATAACCAAAGAGGCAAAAATTGTTTCCATTGCAACTTCTACAACAGGTGCATTAAAAAAGGTATATTGAAATGAAAAATGAAAATAATTATTCTTAAAAATGTCGTACAAACCATGGATTCCAATTTCAGAATTTCTAGAAATAAATTTTTAAAAAAAAAATTAAAAATCGTCCGAGAATAGACATACTACATGAATGCAACCTATGAATACTGAACACACGTCTTTATCGGTAGACACATTGAAAGTTTAAAGTTAAGATTTTCTTATTTTGTATTGGTTCTTTAACAATGACTCTTATTAAAATTCGTTAATCTAGCTTGGTTTGAAGGGTTATCTAACAATCTTGCAGTTTACTTTCGTTCGTTGATAATATAACTAATTAGGTACTTAATTCTGATTTGGCATTTAGTTTCCATGACAGTACTTCACTAAATGTGAATGGATTTTTATCGAAATTGCTTGAAAGTATATCTAATTATCATTCATCCTGTGTTCGACTTCTTCCGACGTTGTTCGATGACATTTATACATAATCATTTAGGTCATTTGTTCTTAATTTGTTCTTTAGGAGCGATAGCTGGACTAAATAGCGATAGGTTTCGATTATTTTTGGTTTGCAGGTTGTCTAACAATCTTTCAGACTGACTTTGAATATCGAAGTCGTGTGTTCACGTTTAATTTTTGAGGTCTTCACTTCAGGCAAATTACTTTCAATGAGTTAACTTTCCTAAATGCCAATGGATCTCAAGGGAAGGGATGCATGTTTGCATGGTTTAGCTGGAGTTAAGCTGCCTTACCAATGCACCATTGAACGAAGGGGCTCTAAATCCTTCAGCAAGCAGAGCGTTATTAAATATTTCTTTAGGCTATTTAGTATATAGAACCAACATCGCTGATAACGCTACTAAACACAAATTCGGCAAATATTGGTTGAAATTAAATTTACATGGAATGGATCCTTTGTAGTGTTTCAGTAATTACAGCTTACTTGTTCTGATTCTGTATCTGTTGTCGACAAGGTATAGAGCTGTAAAACGTATTCCTGTTTAAAACTTTACAGCTTCGGCGCCGTGATTTTATCGATTGTTTGCTTCAGAGTATATGGCCGTTTAACTATAATTAATCAAGGTACATATTCACTACTTCGGAAAAAGTAGCCGATACGTTTCTGATGTTTAGAAGTGGTGAATCACGGTCCCACGTTTAAGACTCAGTGCCGTGGAGCGGTTTTTGTTTAATACTATACAGCTATGGCACAGTGGTTTTATGGAATGCGTGCTTCACAATATGTAGGCATCAAAGCTAGGATTAATCAGGTGAGTAGTTTGCTTTAGAAAAAAATAGTCAATAAGTTTCAAGTGTTTTCAAAAGTAAACCATGGATTCAATTTTTACAATTACTTATTCTTGTCATTAAAACAAGTCCATGGATATAATTCAGAAGAATTATATAACACATTTATACTTGAAAATACCCATGATCAACAAATACTTGTTGCCGATTCAGCATTGCACATCTTGTTACGTTAAAGATACGTATGTCCTTGGCCGGGAGTTAGGAAGCAAATGACGTTCAAACATAATTTAAAGTGTATTTTGTTATATAAGTTTATTTTCGTATCTAATAGAAATTTCTTTAATGGGAAACAAAATTTTATTACGAATTATTGAAAGTGATGGAGAGAGGAAAGAGTAGTTAGAAGTCGATATTAGCTTACAGAGTGTATCTATTAAGCATAATCGTTTAGGTCGTTTATGTTTAGACATATTGTTTTCAGATTAGTTGTTGTTAACTCGCAACGGTCTTTGACATAAAATTTGGATTATTTTAGAAATGCCAACTGTCTTTGTAAAACCTTTAGACAAAGGACATCCATTTATGATATATATCGCACTCTCAAGTCAACAGAAATATGGCATTAAATGGGTAAACATCATGTTAAACCTCAGATAAACTGATGACGAAATACCAAAGAAATTTATCTTATTTGTAAAAAGAATGGTATTACTTAAAGAGCTGAAGAATTTACAATACATGAACATATTGTATTATATTGGAATGTAATATGATATGGTAAACATTTGTTTAATTGCAACATATACTCAACAAAAAAAGAAAGGTTAACATGTTTCCTTGGCGAATACCTGTAAATGAGTGAAAAAATGACGTTGGTGCAATATTAGAAAATGGTAATGTTTTACATTACAAAAACCAAGGGGGTTACCAAAATCATTCAAGCGTGAAAGTCTGTATTAGCGAAAGTTGGTTGTAGTTTGAAGACAATTTGCCAGTTGGTAAGTCGTTTAAACCAAACTGGGTCAACATCCGATCGTCCCCGAAGCGGCCGACCCCGTAAAACGACCGCCAGGGATCGATTCGTAACCGCAGTAGAGACTACAAGGACATTGTTTGGGCGTCGTGTGTCTCCCCAAACAGTCCGCAACAGGTTGAGGGCCGACCAATTGAAAGCGCGGCGTCCCTACACTGGACCCAATTTGTTGCGACGTCACCGTAATAATCGGCGTAACTGGACCCGTGTTCACCGTCGTTGGGCCTTACGACAATGAAACAATGTTGTTTTCAAATGAGTCCAGGTTTTGTCTGCAACACGGTGACGGAAGGCGCAGAGTGTGGAGGCGACGAGGGGAGAGTTTTGCGAACTGCTGCGTCGCAGAACGGGACCGCTTTGGCGGCGGAAGTGTAATGGTTTGGGATGGTATTTGTGGGGGGACTCGTACCAGGCTTGTTGTGTTAAACGGCAATTTAACCGGCATTCGATATCGGGACGAAATTTTATGACCAGTGGTTCTGCCATTCTTAAGACGCCATGGCGTTGGCGCCATTTTTCAACAGGATAACGCACCAGCGCACACCAGTCGCGTCAGCAGAAGTTTCTTGCAGCAGAATAACGTACAGGTGTTAGATTGGCCATCTAAATCACATGATTTGTCACCGATTAAGCATGTCTGGGACGTTCTTGGGCGACGCGTGAGAGAACGTCAAAATCAGCCGTCAAACTTGCAGGAGCTGGCCCAAGCCTTGATCGCTGAATGGAACAACATCTCTTCTCGAATTATCCGCCGGTTTACGAGTTCCATGCGACGACGTTGCAATGCTGTTTACGTCGCAAACAGTGGCCATACCCGTTACAACTGAATGCAAAGTTTTATAATGAACCATGACTGCAGTTTTATCAGAATTGATCAATTACTTTATTCGTACATGATTAGTAAGGATTTATGAAGGGGTTAATTAATTAATCACAGAATAAAGTAGTGTTACCTTTCTTTTTTTTTTTGTTTAGTATATATCAATGTGACATTGTATTGTCACAAGTCATCAAATATTCCTTATGTGTGTATACTACACATAATGATTCACGCAAAAATATATCTAGTCTGCAGATAAGGCATCGTATAGTTCCCTTGTCTGCACACACTGTCTTTATACATAAAAAAGGTATATACTTACTCAATAACCATTAAAACTTTACAATATATAGTACCCTTCTTTTATATATAATTCTTAACTAAAGATGACTTATCGTTGCTGCTGCTTCTATCAAAGCTTTTTTTATATATTGTCATGCCTAGTAATATCAAAACCGGGTACTAATATGCCATTTAGGACTGAAATAATCGATACAATTTAGCACAAAAATTTGCTAGAAAATACTGAAAGGTTCTCCTCTCTATTAAATTTAATGCAGGTAATCCTAGGTACTTTTCATACTTACCGTAACAGTTTAAGACTAAGAACATATCTCGTTTTGTTTGCCTAGCATTTATTCTGTAAAAGTAATATGGCGACGAACGTTGATAGTAACAAAAAGAAAAATAAACATATATATACAACATACGAAAAGGGCAAAATCATTTTTTTTCCGAAATGACATGAATGCATCATATTCTATTCATATATACGAAACAAAGATATGCTAACATACACTGTCATCATATTAAAGAACAAATGAAATGTGGACAACACTAGTTTATGTTCAACGAATACCGATCGCTGAAGTTTATTTTTGAAAGCTGTATTTAAGTAAATTTATCTGTAAGAAGATTATCAGTTATATCCTGCCGAACCTAAATATAAACGAGACTGGACTGTAGTTCATTCAACAGTACACCAACTGGTGAGTACTTTGTTTAAGTAATTCGGGTTGTATGCTCTAGTTGACGCAAGCAGAGGTCTGAAAGAATCTACCGTATTGTTTGTATAAAGTACATCACAGAACAAAGCCTAGCAACAAACAATTGTCACAGAGAACGAAAATGTAAACAAGAATACATTAGCCGAATGTAGCTTACCTTGCCTAAATGGATTACTGTTGAACCAATTTCATTTTAAATAGGTCGTAATTCGAGAATCTTACTTAAGTTTCCATTTTATATAAAATTAGTGAAACCAGTTGACGATATTATTTAATCGGAACTTTTGTGAGCTTCAAAAATGAGAAATGGGAGAAATGTTTCGGATGACATCAACTAGGTATAGGAATAAGCATTAGTGAAATAACATTTAAATATATTTATATGAAAACTAATCTAACAAATAGTCTTGAATATTTGCGAAACTGATGGATCATGCAATAAAACAAATTTTGGTTTCAATTTCCAAATTTAAAGGAAATTAAGCTTATCATGAACTTACACGAAACGATATTATAACACAATTCAAAACGATCGCTCTGAGATACAACACATTTTATACATTCTCTACATAATGTATAAAAAGCAAAACTGGGGTTAAGGTGTTAGATTTAAACACCGGAGTTATCTATTTTCTTTTTTTTTTTTTTTTTTCTTCTTTTTTTCTGTACGTTGCTGTTGACGACCAGAAAAATCTTGTCTAGCCGAAAACTCCAACGTATCTGTGGTTGAAAAGTTTATCGAGGAAGAAGGAAAAGATAAGATCCCTAGAGACACATGGACAAACAAGTTAGATTTTATTCTTGCCTGTGTGGGAACAGCAGTGGGCTTAGGAAATCTATGGAGGTTTCCGTATCTGTGTTACAAAAACGGAGGAGGTGAGTAGAAAGTTAGATTATCTCTTATTATCAATTACGAATGTTTAGGCATACAAAATATGAGGCGACCATAACAGCATGAAATGGTTGTATTATGGTTCACTAATTAAATTATTAAATAAAGGTTTGAAAAAAATAATCTCTATACTTTTTGATGTGAAAGCAAATTAAAAAGCAGTATCATATAAGAAACATGAAATGTGCATACTTAGAATATATACGTTTCAGCAATTCCAGTCTCGTCAGGTCTAATTAATTTGGAAAGAAATCAAGTATGATTAAGGGATATCGGATTAATGTATACAAGTATTTTGCACCTGATATTAGCATTGGATTGTAATCATATTTTCCTTTGACATGGTTATAAAATGATTTTGATGAGTTGGTAGGGTTTATATATATACATCTTTGTCTAAGGTGCGTTCCTTATACCATTTCTGACATTCGTCGTGTTGGGAGGCGTTCCAATGTTTACGCTGGAGTTAGGACTGGGACAGTACATGAGTCTCACGGGCTTTGAAGCATGGAAAATATGCCCTGTATTTCAAGGTAATTCGCTCTACACATAGTTTTACAGCTCTCCATAAATCACTGAATTTATAGTCACATATTTTTATCTTCTATCATCAAATATATATTTCATGATGGTATGCGTGATTTCTGTGTGATATTTTCATTATATTTGAATTCGACATGTTTAATAGCATATACATAGTTTTCCAGGTATGGTTAAACTGTTCAGTATTTGTGTCATTAGAAAATCATTATTACTCTTAGATTGTAAAAAAATCCTCGTTAACAGCACATTTCAACACAAAGTCAAGAATAAGATAAAATGGAGACAAAATGATTAATTAAACTGCATCATACAGATGTTTCATCCTTCTGGGAATTGTTACTGATTTTAAGGCCTAAATGTTGAAGCCTAGGAGGCGACCGAGGAATATCAAAATTGATCGACAGAAATGTCAAAATTTAGATGGATTAGTTCAATAACCATATAATGCAATAACTTTTGCATTTCTATATACATATATGATAAATTCAGAAGAACTACATGTCACGTCAAATTCATATTTGTTATCCAGAAGCGTACGTGTTTCATTATTCAAATGATTTAGAACGTAGCATGCTGCTAAAAGACATCATCAGCAGTGTCCGCCACCTGCAATTTCGAAGATGCAATACAAATTAAGAATTTGACGCACTTGAGTAAAGCAACCGTCATACATAAACATAGTGTAATATATTGCTATTAGATTAAGTAGCAAAATGTAAAATTTATTTCAAGAAGTTATCTTCTTATAAAACTAGGCAAATACTCAATAAAAACTAATGTTGCTTAGCTCTCTACATTGAGTGTATTATACAGCTGATAACCACGTTTCCTTCTCTTTATATCAACAAAGGATAATAGAATTGATCACACGATGTGTATCGGTGACAACTTTATTAGGAAAGGGTCACCCAGGTTCAGAATATATCTCTTCATTCATACTCAGCTAAGACTATCCAAAGAAAAAATGTTTTACATGTTATAGGGTACTTGTGTGGGTTTCTTCAAATGTTGCTTAGACGATTAATTATTCTTGTTCTAACATCATTAAAGAGTCCAATTGATTTAATAGCCTATATATCAATTATTTATTATGAAGTTTATAGGTGAATTTTTCTCGTATAAGTTTCTTTCCTAAAATCTGTCGTTGTGTGGGCGTAGTTAATATCATAAATAAAGCATTCTGCAAGAAACCAACCAATGATACTGATGGCCCATGAGTCTATATCAAGATGGTACACACATAAGTAAAAGCACCAATCAACTTTGGCATCTGAAATTTATTTCATTGATAAGATCTTGATATTTTAGAGAATTGTTGTGGTTTGTATTGATTATAACGTTGGAAATAAAGCATAACTCCAAATAGTGTAATGACGACAAAAAATGTAAAATGTGATAGAGTAACACCTCAGTGTCTAATACTGACACGAAACTTGCAGTGTGCTAATTTGTTATATAAGCGGTAATATAATTAATATACTTACACTATCAAGCAGTGTTTCTTATGCTCGAAATAAATTGGCTTTGCTATACACTATTAAGCTAAAGTCAATCATTCAACTCCTGTTTTTTCACTTTTATTTGATCCAAAATATAAAACATTCTTTCATAATAAACCAATGACCATTAATAACTCAAAAATGTTACCTGTCATAAGCACCTGGGTCTAATCTTTAACAGTCATGCTAATTGGTCCAACCACATAAGCTTTATGTATGAGAAAGCTTATAAACGAATAAATACTTAGAATGTTAAAGTACAAAATTGACAGAAAGTCACTTGAATTAACATATATTACATGTATTCGTCCTATTTTAGAATATGCTGATATTGTTTGGTCTAACTACACAGAAAGGGAATGCATCATCTTAGAATCAGTTCAATTAGAGGCAATACACATTATTACTGGCCTGAGACGGGGCACCAGTCATGCTATCCTTTATAATGAGTCTAGATTAATACCACTAGCTAAACGAAGACACCTACATCAAAATATCCATTTTTTTGATATTATGAATAACAGATGCCCTCCTCAGGTAACTGATTCTATCCAGCATTTAATCAACAATAACACTGCTCATTATCCTCTTCGACACAACAGGTTGTTTGATGTGCCCCTTGCAAGAACTCGTCAATATAGCACTAGTTTCTTTCCAAAACTCATTACTGAATGGAATGACCCATCCTGTCTGTTTCCCTCATTGACATCCATTTATGCAATAAAATTTTTTTTGTCACAGCCTGTTATCAATCCTATTTTACAATGAACTGATAATTTTAAATATTACGGTAACAGAAAGGCAAACGTAATCTTGTGTCAACTAAGAAACTCTGCATGTAATCTAAATTTTGACTTATTTAAGTTCCACCTTAATGACAACCCTGCCTGTACTTGTGGCCACCCAGTTGAAGATCCTACACACTTCTTTTTCCGTTGTCCCTTCTTTACTAACCAGAGACAACTCCTTAATTCTCTTTCTACTCTTAGTGATTCTATACCTCTTACCACTAATGCATTTCTTAAAGGATCTCATACACTTGATGCAAATATAAATAAATCTATTCTTGATTTGGTTCAGAGATTCATAACTGATACCGGTCGCCTATTTTAACCTTAGTATACTTATATATACATTTTTGAATCTGTTATCTTAAGTTTGGTCCGCCTGTCAATTTTTACGGACTCGGCTCAAGATTGTGGGTATATGGACTGTTTGAACTTGCAGCCTGTGCCGTGATCAATTGACAAACTTTGACTCCATCTTGTTATATATAATTATATTACCTATCTAATCTTACTATTCTTTCACACTATAATTTAAATTATGGTAATGCTTGCCTAACATTTCTGTTAGATAATTATTCATCTGAATCTATATTCTAAATTCTTATTCCTGTAACGCTATCATTATTATTTAATATCTTAAATTTTGATTAATGTGTCTGTGTACTTGTTTAAGAGAGGGCTTTCATAGGCTCTGCCTGTTGCCCAATTCCATTTGTCAGCAACATCAAGACAATAAAAGATTCTGAAATGGAAAGACCATTCCACCATTCGGTATTCGGATTTCCGCTCTTTTACAAAACACAAAAATTGATATTGACCAAATTCAGTTATTTGGAACGATCGAAATTCCACCCTGGCTCTTGAATTCAGCTGAAGTTAACTTTTCAATTCATGCAATGGTTAAATCAGACAATGACAATAAGGTTTCCGCGGCCATGGTTACACTAGATGAAGCCTATGGATGCCGGTTACAGAACAACGTCTTGATATTCTCAGCGAAAGCCCTTAAGTCTACTCCAGAAACGTTTTATTTCTTTTTAATTCTGAAAAATGTTGGTCTATATAATAGACTTTGACTTACTATTTTAATCTTTTGTGATAATCTACCCATTTAAGATTTTTAAAAATTGTCTTTTATTTTAGTTTGATGTGTGTTTTACCGGGTCTTTGTATATATATATATAATATACATAAATAAAAATGATTTTTGACAAAAGAAGAAAGACGTTACATTTTGCACTAGCGCTTTCACTGTATTAGATCTTCAGGTGCATAGTAACTGTACATAATTGTGTGGCGTCACAACATGTTATCTGTTGATGACGTCATAATATAAAAGGGGCATAATTATATTTTGCAAACTTTACAATGCGGTTAAACATTAATATTCAAGTCTGGTTTTAAAAGTTTAACCGCATTGTAAAGTTTGCAAAATATAATTATGCCCCTTTTATATTATGACGTCATCAACAGTTGTTGTGAACACTTTTAAAGTTACCAGAATATTATACAGTGAAAGCGCTATAAAATGTAACTCTTTCTTCTTTTGTCAAAAATCATTTTTATTTATAATTTACTCGCATCTCGTCAAATCAAGTTTATATATATATATATATATATATATGTGTGTGTGTGTGTGTGTGTGTGTGTGTGTGTGTGTGTGTGTGTGTGTGTGTGTGTGTGTGTGTGTGTATTATGTATATAGTTCTTATTTTGTCATAGTTACATCGAAAGTATTTTGGTTAAGATTCCGTTTACATTTCGGTATTTGATTTGTTCGTTTTTGCAGGAATAGGAATCGCGAATTTTGTTACGATTTTCCTCACTAACATATACTACATTATGGTACTGGTGTGGGCTGGATACTACTTCGTGCTGAGTTTGAACTCGGTCCTGCCCTGGTCTAACTGCAACAACGATTGGAACACACCCAGGTTTTTTTATTCACTTGTATTTCACAATTAATATTATGAATAGGGAATAAAAGTATAGATTTTGTTTAAATCAGGTATAATTTATATTTCACTGAAATGCAGATGAAGACGTTCTCGCTATCTGTTCTCTGCACCTAACGACATTGGTTTCTGTTAAATCAATTGAAGACGAAGACGCAAATTAGATGTCGGCAATGTGGTTTTATATAAGTAATCTTCAAAAAATTGAAATCTCGTATAAGACCAAGGCCATCCACAAAGCGATTCTGATACAGAATCTCTTCTTGACTCAGTTTTTTTTATGTCATTGATACATAAGAAGGGTAACAACATACCCTGTGACAATTAGTAAATGACTGCTGCCAACTCGTTTTATCCATGATTCTTCCGCGGATGTCTGAGCATTTCACTTTGATCTGTTGCCAAAATTAATTATTATCATTGAATAATGTAGTTTTTTTTTTAATTTTATTTCATATATTTACTTATTTAGAAAATGTATTGCATGATCGTATTTTCCCTTAGAAATGCTTTTTGACCATCTTCTAATTTGAAATGTAAGACTATTTTTTACCAATGTCTTGGACAAGGTCGAGCAACTGCAATCCTGGACTTCATCAAAATATGGAAAAAAAAACCTTTTTTTTAACAGTATTTACTCATATGAAAATATTAAATCCAAAATCTTCAAATACAACGAAGAATATGTGATGTATAAGGTAAGGATTTGGTCTGAAATCAAGCAGCTTCTTTTCAACATTTACAGATGCAATCCCTTCAATGAAGATCTCAACACAACCTTGTTTACCAATGTGTCTCTACTGAACTCGAGTGCTACGACCGAACAACCGGTTGATCCTGCTGTAGAGTTTTGGGAGTAAGACTCATTTACCATTTACTAGTGTTAATCAGGTCTATGTACAGTGAATTTTAATGAAGATATAAATGATGTAAAATGTGTTACTTCTATACCAATAAGACCACTTATCATTTTCCTAAAATGCATACCGATATTTAAAAGCAGCACAAATCTTTTAACAACAGTTATTATTTATATTTAGTCGTTATGAATCTATTTTAGAAACTCAAAACGACAAAATCAATACGTTATTTTACTCAAGATGTTACCCATTTTTATCGGTCGATGAAAATATGTTGCTACAGTAAAATCACGATTTACCGATCGCAAAATTTTCATTTGATATATGGCAATTGTAAATGAGACGTCAATGAGTCAGATTTACCTAGAAACGTTACGAAAATGATGTCAGGACCAGTAACATGACCTCGAAAGGTCGCCTAATATTTGAAATATACTTGTACGTAAGATAGAGTTTCTTCCAGATTGGAATGCAAACACGTAAATACCATTTACCGTCTAGCCCGCCATGTATAGGAAGCCGGGGTTTATTCATCAGTTTCAATACAAGATACATTACATGCATCGTATGATATGACAAAATCTACAAAAACTGAGATTGACAAACAATAACATCGCCATCGTATGTCATAAAAATTGCTGCGGACGAATATCAGTTGTTAATTGTATGTAATTAAAGCCTTATAGAAATCAATCTAGCCACTCAATCTGAAACTTCTGCGCTGCAGTATAGTGGGTAGCGTACCAGCCCTTAATAGATTTCACAATGCTGGGATTTCCTACAGGCTTAATCAAAACCTAGAACATATGAGAAACATCCATCGATCAACACGAACTGAAGTTTAAAGATAATAACTCGACGGAGCAGAAGGGTTCGGCGGCTAGGAGTGAAACACACACCTGTGCACCCGATACCAGTTACTGTGACGACACGGCACGTGCAACAACTGCAAGTCAGTGCCGAACGAGACAAATTAGTCTTTACTTTACGAACCGCGGAAATATTTAAATATGGATAACCCGTTATGGGTTACGTATCAATTACAAAACACACAACATATGTGTCACTTCCACAACCCTAGATTTTTATGGATCGCAAAACTCTTTTTAATCGTTTTTTGTTAAATTCAGTAATATATGTATATATACGTATCATTCAGGAAAACACTTACATGTATAAGTATATTTAAAAAAATACTCTTCACATCATTGTGCTTGTCCGTGTCCTCATTAAAATAGCTTCAAGTATGCCACGAACATGATCATGCTGGCAGATATATTGAATTTGCTGTTTACATCATAAGGCATTAGGAATTTGCGCTGACTTGTCAAATGAATTGATGGCATCATGTGCCTATTGACATTTATATTAAATAATTCTTAAATGTTTGTGTCTTAATTGCAGTTTTATGGTTATTGAACAACAAATTGTCGATATAGTAACACTATAAATCAGTGAAGCATAATGGAAATGGTAGATAAGATACTGAAATACAGTTTGGTTAAGGTGTTCCGGAAACGGTACCCGTCACGGAAATCTTGGTAGATATAAAATAGATATATGGCACATTTTTTAAACTTGATCAATTGATATTCATCACATTCTGGTGCATCGAGAAAACATAATCAGCTGACTTTCAATATATATCTATTTCAGACGGGAAGTATTGCGTTTGAGCACAGGTATCACGGATGGTGGGGGTATCATTTGGCAACTAGCTCTGTCTTTAATGATTTTATGGATAATTGTCTACTTCTGCTTGTGGAGAGGTGTCAAGTGGACTGGTAAGGTAAGGTATATCTCACATATTTACGTTGTAGGATACTTACTGATCTTCTGATATATTGTCTGCCCGTTAAAGCGGCATTTTTAAAAATGATTGGTATTGAAGTTTTGAAACAGACGAGAACCTGGTACATCTGATATTAAATCCATCCATTGACTGCTTGGACTAGGGATAGAATTTGACATCGTAATAGTTACTAGATTCGCGCACTAATTAGCACTATGATATTTTGAGAATTGCAGATTGTTTAAATGTAAAAACAATAAAAAGAGCTACACCTGGTTATCTTAAGGAAAACAGCTACGACTCTATACGATATATCAGACGTAAATATGTACATTGGTAACAACTCGTTTCTGTTACTGTAGGTTGTATATTTCACGGCCCTATTTCCCTACGTCATACTAAGTATACTTCTTGTTAGGGGACTGACGCTAGATGGCGCCAGAGAAGGTGTGGTATACTACATTAAACCAGACATGACACGACTTGCTGACATACAGGTATGTATATAAGTTTGTTAAATGACGATATTTAAATACCGCCAAATGTGTTGATTGCTATTCCATTTAAGCGACTTTTTAAAATGAAATTATGCTGAATTCCATCTCCTAATATTTTTTTCTTCCACTCCTTTTTCATATTAACTTTTCTCAGAACTTTGCATTAGATCATCATTAAACTGAATTTAGATGTCATTGTTGAGATATGATACGGATATTATCTTATTAACAAGGTTGTGTTAATATCAATCTTCTCCATAGTACGTAATAGGAATATAACATTGATCACATTTACCCCGCCCTTAAGGCCCCGAAAAGAAGAATGTAATATTCTAAGACCCTTTGGTCCATGACGAGTATTCGATACAGCACTTTCTCCATTTGGACCCCATTCCTTAGTTCCCACGGGGACAATATCGACGGTGGATCAGAAGTCACTGATCTTCAGTTGGGATACATAATTAGATATATCCTGAAAGTTTATGGAGTGTTAAGTTATGCTTTTGGCATCATTTTCAATTTCTTAAAATCTTCAGATGTATATTTTTCATTTTATCTTTTAGTACGTCTCATACGTCATAAGTTGATGAATAAGACATATGATATAGTCCATTGTTTTCTAGTTTGTTTTTCAACTTCGACTTTAAAACTTTTCCAACTTTTCATGCTTAAAACTAGGATTTTCGCTTCTTTTAACAGGTTTGGATTGATGGAGGGACGCAGGTGTTCTTTTCCTACGCCACAGCAGCTAATCAGATAATCACTCTCGGGAGTTACAATAAATTTACAAACAATTTCTACAGGTAAAAATGTTGCAAATTGCAAATAATATTGTACACTTTGTCAATGTTGAATTATTGTATATACATTTTAGTTAATGATTTTCTCTGTTTTATCATTTTAGATTTGTAGTGAAAGATTATGTTAACTATGTGTGTATTTGATGTCCAACTGCAAAACCAGAGAAAAAAATGAGCTCTCATGAATGCTGACATATTAACTACGAGAATGAAATCGTTACCATGTAAACTTTTTGTGACAAGCCAGTGACATTCCAACATCAAAGTTTAAAAACATCAAGCATACTTCAAAATATACTGCTACGGAGACAATACGATATTTTGAATATCTGCCTTGGTATCATGAATTAAATGGAATGTATATACAACATGTAGTGAGACAAAGTAGGTGCTTTAGACTATGGAGTGGAGACTTGCTAATATTAGTAAACCGAAACATATTTCCACGGTCCTGTCGATTTCATTCGGTAAATACGGGTATTTATTTGGCAGTGGATACTTACTATAATGATTTTCTTCTGGTTTCCTTTCTAGTCAAAATGCTGATTTTATAATTTTTTGTATCTATTGAAAAGATGAATTCAACAAAATGTAGAAAACCGAAAAAAAAATCTTACAGGGACGCTATCATGGTGTCATGTATTAACAGTGGAACAAGTCTGGTCGGGGGATTCGCCGTCTTTTCCGTACTAGGATTTATGGCCAAACAACATAACCTTCCAATAGCAGACGTGGCTAATGCTGGTAACAATGTTTATTTAAATTTTGTTTGTAAACAAGAATATATTTCAACGTGGTCCCTATCTTTGCGTCTATTACATTATCACTATTCATCATTATTTTACTCTTTCAAAATATATTTATATTTGGTTAATATATACCGCTAGAACGAATGAATTAATTTGTGTCTTTTTAATCATTTGCTAAATGCAGCCTAATTATACAGCGATCACCTCTATGTCTCCACAACACATTTAATGTTCCCTCTTTTCGATGTTCTAGGTCCCGGATTGGCTTTTATTACATACCCGAACGCCGTCACACAGATGCCAATTTCGCCGTTGTGGGCAGCACTTTTCTTTTTGATGATAGTTCTACTAGGGCTTGACAGTCATGTAGGTCACAACAAATTATACTTTATTTAAAACCTTGAAGGCTTTATTTTCAAAAACAGTTGCTCTTTATTCTTTAGATAATCTCAAAACAACAAAATTGGCCAAGACAATCTATGTTCTCCAGGAATATGATTATTAATGTAGATATACAGCAAAGTATTGTCTTTGATTGGTGTTCAATAAAATTAGTCTTTTCCATCTCTCTTCAAAAAAGTTTCATGTCCAGCTGATTAAGACAATATGATGATATGAGGAAAGTTGTAATGTTGCGAAGTTTCAAGTTTTACTTTTTGAAAATGAATATGTATCTAAAGGTTGAGTAATATCTTAGGAAACTGATAATACAATTGGCGATATATATTTCTTTTACTTATATTTCTCAGTTTTGTTAAATTTCCTTAATTTATTGGCTTTTTTTTTTTTTTTTAGTTTTTGTTTTTTGGGGTTTTTTTTCGTTCTTTTGCTTTTTGTTGTTGTTGTTGTCTGTGGCATTAATTCTCTCATGTAATTATCATTTTAACTTTTGTTTAAGTTTGTTGGGGTTGAAGCCGTCATATCCTCAGTCATGGATGTTTTCCCAGATATCATGCGAAAGAAAAATCGCCGATCAATGCTTGTTGGAGCCTATTGTCTCCTTTCGTTCCTGCTTGGCCTCTGTATGGTTTCCAGGGTATGTTGTATTTACCGGTTGGAATTTATTTGAAAAGTATGTCAGAGTGTTGTTTAGGGTTTCTGATGATTAAACGTGTTACTTTATTCGGACTTCTATCTAGTACTGAAATTATTATTATTGCAGTGCTACGACGTACTGTCACTCAATACCACGTCGATTTTCTTCCAGGGAGGAATGTATATATTCCAGCTATTCGACTACTACTCCGCCAGTGGAATGGTCCTTCTGTGGTCAGTGTTCTGGGAGGTGGTGGCCATTGCTTGGGTGTTTGGTAAGTGAAATATGTTATTTTACATATTGTAGACTCAGTCCATGTATGCACGTTTATGGACTTTATGGGTATACTCATACACTAAACAACAAATATCTATTTAATCGGATTTCTTAGCCTCATCACTAAACGATTTTCAATTTAAAGACATAACAGTTTGATCAATGATTGAATAACGAATTCTAGACGTACGTCTCCCTGCCAATTTTTTCAGTCTATTCCAAGCAAAAAATAATTATTGGATTTGGCGTGACCAGCTCTCAGTCTATTAAAACTTTACACATTCTGGGTGT